ACCTAGGGATTCTCTTGGCTTCAACTGCAGAAGCAGTGGGCTCTTCAGCAAAAGCAAAGCAAGAAATACAACCATAGAAACAAAACTGAGCTGTGTGCCAGACTAAGGAGAATGTTCAACTAGCTTGTTATTGCCAGCTTTGTTATTTAAAAATATTTAACTTCTTAAATTATTCGAAGAAAAGTCTTAGGTTCTTGCTTTAAAAAAGCTATCCCTGGTTTTTAGTGTTGAAGTAATGCTTATTGTTGTGACAACTGTAAATATTTTCAAAATGAGATCGCTGGTATCAAAGGCAAGTGAGATTATTATTATTTCTTTTTTTACAGAGGGCTGGCATCATAGCTGCCTTAAACTCTCCACCTCTTCTGACATGAAAAGATTTCTTTGGCAGCTGTATGTTTGTGAAGTGTTCCTGTTTGCAGTGGGTTTCTAACAGCCTCTAAGAAATGTTTGTACTTCTGGTTTGCTTGTTTTCAAATTGTCTCCGTTTCCCTGTAGCAGAGACAAGGAACCAACAAACATAGGTGTGCCTTCAGAAATCCTGGAGTTACAGAAGTTTCACCAAGCTTCTCACTCTCAGTCAGACTGGCCTTGCCCTCTTGCCTCAGTCAGCTGTTAGAGCAGTGTGCTTGTGGTTATTTACACTGTTCATAAATCCCTGCTTTAATTCAGATTATACTTCTGGCACTGCTTCTGGTATTGGAAATGGCCCGTGCTCGTTTGTACACTGTTCATAAATCCCTGCTTTAATTCAGATTATACTTCTGGCACTGCTGGGTATTGGAAATGGCCCATGCTCGTTTATTAATTAATGCTCTCATTTTATAGCTCTCTTACTGTCTGAGCTGCAAAAGGAAATACAAAGATTTCATGTGGTTTTGGGTGTTTCTAAGCTTTACATGTTCAGCTCATCAGGAATGGGCAAGGCTTTATCCACCTTTGTGCTGTGGTTTTGTGGCAGGTTTCTGTTGGAGGCAGTGTTTGTTATCCCTTCTCTCCTCTTGGCTGCTGTGGACAGAGGCACTTTATCCTCACTGTGGCTTGGATACTACAAATGATGGTGCAGCTGTTGGGAGAGCTTGACTGGATTAAAAAAAATAATAATAAAAACCAAGCCAAACCAAAAAAACAAACCACCAAACCACACCGCCAAAAAAAAAAAGCACGAAAAATCAAAACATAAAACAACAGCAACAAAAAGAAACATAAAAGAAACCCAAACCCCAAAAAACACAAAACACCTTTTTGGCCTGGTTCAGTTTGTCAGGAAGTCCCAAATCAGCAGTAGGAATGTTAGAAGAGCCTGCTGCCAGTGCCACTGGAGTGCTCATCCAGGTTTACTGGGTTTGTCCTGCCCCAGGACTGGCTGCACCAGTAAACCCAGGAGATACCAGGGCATCTTGTGCTGATCCCTCTTCCCATTCAGAATCCAACTAAAAGCTTTTCCTCCACCAAATTATTTTTCAGAATTACTGCAATGTTTTTGTAAAAGCAATATTTATTGAAAATTTAAGGAGTACAGTTTGGATATATTTAGGAAGTCAAATCAGGTTTTACCCTTCCCTTCTTCCAGGGGGGAGCTGTCTCTGCCTGGCTTTCCTGCCTTCTCAAACTCTGGCAGGTCTTGAGCACTTCTGGATGTGGCTGGTACTCTCTAAGAAATGAGCTTATTAAAATATACTGGCTTGACCTGTTATTTTGAAGTTTGCATTAATCCTTCCATCAGTTTATTTCTCTTAGAAGTCCCTTTAAACTACCCTAAATGTCTTGTTATTAATCAGTTTCTGGCAAGATCCTCAGTCCTTTAATCAACCTCTGAGAATCTTACGAAAAAATTTTGCACATCTTCTGGTGTTGATTTTTTCTTATTCTTTCAATAGATCCTTATGATTTTTTTTGGTTGGTTGTTTCATTTTAGGTTGTTTTGTTGGGTTTTTTGAGACAAAAGACCTTTTTAAACTTATTTTGGAAGCAACCTTGTAAATATCAAAAGTTCTCTAAATAACTACATCATCAGCTATGCAAGGTGCTAATGTTAGAGGGTTTATTTTGATATTAGTTAATGTATTCAAATCTGAAAATAACTGCTCTGCTTCTGTTGCTTCCTCCGTTGCTATTTATAGATTTCTTATCTTGTCTGTTATTGGTCTGTGTAATTAACAAGCCATCAGTGGGAATTTTCCTAATCACAAAAGACTCTTAGTTGTAAGTACAAAACGGTCTGTGCCTAACTCTGAGCAGACAGAAATGAGGATAACTTATCCAGGTGTCCTGTCCTGGCCAATCCTGACCCTTGTGTCCCACTCCCTTCTGCATCCAGTCAGACACTTGAAAAGTCAGGCTTTGGTGTAAAGGAAGGTTTGTTCAGTTTAGAACAGCTGGGTTTGCCAGCAGAGAATCCCTGGCTGCTTGTGTTGTTCAAACCTGCCCTCCCCATGGCCTGGCAGATCCCTGGTGTGGAAAAACACCTTGGGGAAGAGCAAAGGAGTTTCTGGTGGTTTACTGGACGTCAGCACCACAACCTTCACACCCTCCTGGTGCATTTAGGGAGCAACTCCTTCAGAGTTGGTGGTATTTGAAATTTCTGGTGTTGGAGGTGACTTAAATTTCCATTATGCTATTTAGTTCTTCAGTTTCTCTGACTTTGAAAGGAGACAAAATGCTGCTTATGTTAAAAGCAGAAAGGGGAGGCCCCCTTGAGTACATTTTTCTCTGAACCTATTGTTAACTTCACTTTTGAAGTACAATTTCCTTGGAAATAGAGCACTTCAGAACACTCTGGAAGAGTCATCATTTTCTGGTAAGTACTTTTCCTGGTGAATAAGATAATGTCCCTCCTGGTGGGAGGTGGGAAGCAGCTTAAAACAATAAACTCCTGAGCCTGCCTTACTTACGAGGTGATTGATCAAACAGGGAAGGAGCAGCCTTCATTCTTACAGCTTGGGGGTTCAGGTGTCATTTTCTTATTACTGCTCCAGGTTACAGCTTTTGTAACAAACTGGACTATTCTAAATAATCCTAGACTGCTTTCAAATAACTCTAGACTGTAAAACTATTTCACTCCACCGTGAGGGGAGTATCAGTGGGAAAAGATCTCTTGGCTTCCAGCGTTTTATAAATGGATTTTTAACTCTGTTTTGGACACTCACCTAGCCTGGTTTGAAGGGTATTTGAATCAAGTGACTTCATATTACCAAACCAGGGCAAAGCATCTTAGATGAAAAAGCAGACCCTGACTTATTTAAAATTATATAACCAGAGAGGGGCTGATGAAAAATAAATTATTTTATCTTTGTGATGATTTTAAATGTTCGGGCTTATGCAGGTGTTAGGAATTCACATTGGGTTTTAGTACAGTAAGCAAGGATCCAGCATTTTCTATATGTCAGGTGAAGGAGATCTTTGGATTAAGCCGTGGGTTTTGAGTACTGTTTTCTGCTTTGACAGTCACTGGAGAGGATCTCTCCTGGGTTTGTATTTCTCTGAATTTACTGGACAAATGCAGCTCACTAACAAGAGGGATGGAGAAAACTATTCCTGTTTTTGTTGGATGCTGTGAATTTAAATTTAGAAAGATTAAGGATTCTGAAATACAGTTCAAAAGCATATGAACATAGCAATTACATTACTTACAGAAAAGAGACTTTTTAGTATGAAGGAGATTAGTTTTAGAAGATGACCGTGTGTGTAATCTTATTTCAGATGAAAAGAGCCACAAAGCCTGATGCAAGAAATTGAGATTTGAGAACTCCCTTTTGATTAAATTATATATATTTCTCTGATCTGTCTAATTCTTAATAGGGTATTAAGTGTATAATAATGGATTGTAAAAGAGTAGGAGAACTGAATGATGATGTATTTAGGAATGTTATTTGCAATTAAAACCCTGGGGAAGGGTTATGGTTGTGTGATCAACCTTCTATAAAAATAGCACGGTCACCTTGTCCTCTCTGATTGATTTTGCTTGCCTTAAAGGAAATATCTGTTAGGTCATCCAGCAAGCTGCAAACCACCCACTCTTACAGGTGGACATTGTAGCTTAATTCTATACAAAATAAAGCTGATGATGGAATTACTGGTTCTGTAAAGATTCTCCTTGAATGTTTATAAAAGCAATAATAGTTTTCAGCTGTGTTGCACTGCTGGGTGATGCAGTGCACAGTGTGTGCTGTAAGGGGGATTTTGCAGCACTTGAGAATAAAGCAGCATTTGGCTTTATAAGCAATATATTTTATTGCCAGCTCTGTCCCAACCGTCCTCCCCAGCACACGTCTTAATCAGTTAAAATGAGTGGCTTTGGTTTGCTTTGTTTCGGGATGTGAAAGTGGTTACAGCTAAATCTGCAGCTGTATGAAGAGATGTAAAACACTGAGACACTGGAAAGGTGCTTGTCTGAGGGAGGGAAATCTGGGGCAGTGGGTGTGTTAAAGGAAGGAACTAAAAGTCTCAATTACATGAGAGCTACACCATTTTTAATTGCTTCTTTTTGCTTGGCTGGCTGTAGTTTTCCCCCTTATTTTTTGTTCTCTCAGCTTGCAAGGGACATCACTTCACATGCTTTTATTAAGTTTATCTTTTGCCAGCAGGCAGGGGGGAGGTCAGGGGAGCTCTTTGTTTCTTCTTTTTCAGCAGCAGCTTTTCAGTTCAGTTTCTGGAAGGTACCTCTTTCCCAGCAGTAGGAGCTTTTAGTAGCTGGTGTTGGGCTTTGTTTCACTGGCAAGGGAGGCTGGCTGCATCCAGAGCTTCTCCTTGGGAGGGTTCTGGAGCAGGGAATGTGTGAAAATAGGCGAAGATGTGTCTCAAAGCTGTCAGCTCTTAGCAGTGAGCAATGCATTCAGCTGCACATTCCTGCAGGTACACTAGCCCATTCTGCCGGGACATTGCTTAAAAGTGATTGAATATATTGACCATCATTGACAGACCCGTTGTGGAATTTTAATCAGATGTGATCAGGAGGAATGGAGGGAAAGTCATACTTTTGCACTGTCATTTCTCCTCAGAAAACCCGAGAAAGGAGTCCAGTACCTCATCGAGCGAGGGTTTGTGCCCGACACTCCGGTCGGGGTTGCCCACTTCCTGCTGCAGAGGAAGGGGCTCAGCAGGCAGATGATCGGCGAGTTCCTGGGAAATCGGCAGAAGCAGTTCAACAGGGACGTGCTGGAGTGAGTATTGGGTGGGGAAGGGGCGAGCACTGCTCACTGCCCCCCCGAGACATCTGCTGTCTCCATGGCTCACAGAAATGCTGTTTCATTCCCCTCCCCATCCTGTTGTTGGCCAGCGTGTTCCTGGGGGTCCTTAATTGCGCTAATTACTTCATTTGGAGTCTGCACATGTACTTTACACCTTGGAATGGGAAAACACCATTTACACCGGGAATGGCAAAAGGGCTTTTTTGACACCCTGACAGAACTTGCAATAATGGGAAGCCTGTGAGCATTATTGCAGAACTGATAATAATGTTTAGGTGAGGATTGGAAAGGGTGTGAGAAATTCCAGGCTCATTGTTTCATTGTGCTTTTGCATAAAAGGAAAAATATTAAAAGCAAGAGGAATAAATTGCTTGCTGCTAATCAACATTAGCTACAGTGTTACTGAAAGAAAAATATGAGCTATTGCAATTTGTCATTGTATATCTATACATTTAAGAAAAAGCTTTTAAAAGTGGATGGTGCTTTCTGTGGTTTCTGCATTACTGTGCTGTTACTTGCAGTGATTCATGTTTGGTCATTTCAAAACTAAAAGCTAAGCTTAAAGGAAATTTATAAGCCTCTGATTTTAAAGCAGTCTTTAAACAAAGTATTAGAATGACATAGTTCATGTTGCTGATTATATTAAAATGATTCCCTTTTATTTTTTGTCAGCACTGTATTTTCAGAGCAAGAAAGTAATTATTTCTCCATAAATGTTAACTGAAAGTCATGGCAAATTATGGGGAGAGGAGTATTACAGAAATAATAAGAAAGTATCCAAACAAGGTTATTTTTTCTCTCTGCAATTAAGAATGTTCCTAGATGTAGAGCCATTTGGTACAGATTATTGTGCCTGCTGCAGGCTGTCTGAGATATGATGTTTTGAGCAGTAAACTGTTTATTATTGTTGGAGGCATTGTGATAGTTGATTGGCCTGGAGCACAGAACTAATAATTATTTGTGGCAGTGGTATATCACTTACAATGATCAGACATTTGTCATTCCAACAGGTCTCCAGTTAAAAAACACAAGGGTCTGCTCACATGTGCACGTTCTCATTGATCTGTTATTTTCAACCTCCCTTCACAGCTTACCTGCAATTATTGCAATTGCTGCTGAAAGTTTAAAAAACAATTCCATGAATATCTGTCAGAGGGAAAATTGGAAAGTTTTTTCTGTTTCAAAATCTTCCCTTTCTACTGTGTTGTTAGAAATAAAGAGACATGATGTGAATCTGTTTTTGTCCTAGCTGTGTGGTGGATGAGATGGACTTCTCCACAATGGAGCTGGATGAAGCACTCAGGAAATTTCAGGCCCACATCCGTGTCCAAGGAGAAGCCCAGAAGGTGGAGAGGCTCATTGAAGCTTTTAGGTAGGAAGTGAAATAAATCCCTCAGTCACCAGAAACCTGCTGCTTTGCAGTCAGACTGCAGAACTGGGGAACATGGGCTTATCCAAGTTACTTTATTGGTTATTTTCAGTGTCATCATGAGGTACAAACACTTTCAAATATGTCTTGTTTGTGGGGGTGGTTGCTAAGTATGGAATAGGAAGTTTCATTTGCTGGTGTTGTTCACCTGTGACATTTATATTAATAGAACTTTCTCAGAAGTTCATTCTGGCATCAGTTGAAAAGATACTCAAGGATTTTTGAACATCTCTAAAATATATTTGGATTTAGTAGTTTATATGAGTGGAATTAAAAGCCCATGCACATTGTAGGGTATGTATACTCCTAATTTTCATTAAATACTTCAACAACAGTGGGAGAGAGAGGAGTCACTTATCAGTACTGACAGAGGTGTATCCAGGGCAGGATAAGGTGGAAATCACCACACGGCAGTAAGCCAAAATCAATGCTGTGTTCTTACCTGCTGTCAGGGTATTAATCACTGAAAAAAATGGGATATAGAAGTTATTGTAGTAAGTGAAGTTACAGTTAAGGAGAAACAAACTCCTTGCACATTCAAGGATTGCCTCATGAAAACATGTGGATGGAATGCTAAAGCTGTGTCCAGTTCTGGGCCATCAGTTTGGGAAGGACATTGAGTCGCTCGAGCACATCCAGAGGGGGCAACGAGGATGGTGAGGGGCTGGGAGCACAAGGCCTGGTGAGGAATGACTGAGGGAGCTGCGGGTGTTTACCCTGGAGAAAAGGAGACTCCAAAGTGACCTTATCACTCCACAGCTCCCTGAAGGGTAGTTGTAGTCAAGGGGGGTTGGCTTCTTTCTCCAGGCAGCACTGACAGAACCAGAGGACACAGTCTCAAGCTGCATCAAGGGAAATATAGGTTGGATATTAGGAAATAAGTTTTTTACAGAAAGAGTGATAAAGTTTTGGAATGGCCTGCCAGGGGAGGTGGTGGAGACACCATTCATAAAAAGACTGAATGTGGCACTGGGTGCCATGGTTTAGTTGTGGTGTTGGGACATGGGTTGGACTGGATGATCTTGAAGATCTCTTCCAACCTGGTCATTCTGTGATTCTGTGAATTCTGTGGAAAGGGAGCAGTAGCTTGCTGAGGCTCAGGAATGCAGCGGGTGGGTTATTTGGTGCATTGGAGCAGTGCCTCCCAGGCCTGACAGCCTCTCTGGTGTTCCCAGCCAGCGTTACTGCATCTGCAACCCGGGCGTGGTGCGGCAGTTCCGCAACCCCGACACCATCTTTATCCTGGCCTTCGCCATCATCCTGCTCAACACCGACATGTACAGCCCCAACGTCAAACCCGAGCGCAAGATGAAGCTGGAGGACTTCATCAAGAACCTCAGGGGTAAGAGACCCTAAGGGCAAAGCTCCTCAAAGCTTTTCCCTGTCACTGTCCTTGCAGGGACACTCTGTGTCTTCTGGGAATAGCTTCACACTGCTGTCACCTGGCTGCCATTTGGACAGACTTCAGTGATTTCTGTAACAGCAAAACCAGAATTAATTGTGTCATATTTTGTAATTTTTGTCTTGTTTTTCTTGAGTGGATGGATGTATTGTCAGGACCGTTCATTTTAGGACCAGAAAAACCAAAATACTTGTGTTCTGGAATTTCAGATCTTGAAAATGGAAGTCCTGGTTGGTGATTTTATTCCCTGAGATTTATATAAGGCAGCAATGAACAACCTGTGCTTAGCAGATGTTCCAGCTTAGCAAAGTTTAAGTTAGTGCTGAGATTTTATTATAAAATCCACAAATACTCCAAAGGCCTGATATGCATCTCTTGGCATAATGCTGCAGTTACATTTGTGGAGTTAGCCACAGCACATTCTCTCTGAACTGCAGCATGCATGCCAGCAGTTGTGGCTGCTGCAGCAATTTCTGTAACAAGCTACCTTGCTGCAGTAAATCACTGCATCAGAAAGGGTGGCTGTGGAAGGCTTGTCCATGTGGCACAGAACAGAGGTGGTTTTGCTTGCTTCTATCTGCAAACAAATTGTATTTTATCACTGTATTTTTTATGGGAGCAGTTGTTGCACTGAGACGACAAAATATTCTATCTTTGCTTCTGAATGGGAGATAAGAGTGTATTGCTTTAAAACCCGTTAAAAAAAAAAAAAAGACATGCATCTCCCTGTCCCCAGAAAATCCAGCTTTAAGTCACTTAGTGAAATTGGACTCCTTCCATTGCTATTAAAAATTTAGGATAAAGCATTCAAGACAGTGTGACATTTGTTAGAATGCCATGCCAATGATAATCACACAGTACTAAACAATAATATTGGATCTGGGCTGTTTTGTTGATTTGTTTTTCTAGACTAAACTAGTAATTTTTGAAACCTTATAGGAAATATTGGTTAAATAATTTTAATGCATTCAAAAAGTTCTCACATAGGAAATTATTTCATGAACATTGAGTAATATTGAGACAGAGGCAAAATGAAATGGTTCTTCTCCTTCCTCCCAGGGGTGTATTCCTAGGAGAATGTTGGAGGTTTTAGTGTTAAATTCCTAAAAGGAATTTAACTCCTTGTAGCTTTAATACCAAACAGAGGTGTGAAAGAAAAAATCCTTTAGGAAATCAGCCTTTTTATATCTTAGTTTCAGATGGGAGTTTTAAAACAAAAAATCCCCAAGCGTGTATGATCTCCATCAATGTCTTGGGGTATGGGGTATGGCAGCGAGTTTCTGGACCAAAGTCAGTGTTTAAATCATATTCACACCACTTGTGTGTGGCTGAGGCAGCACGAGGACACACAGGAGGAGCTGGCTGGCAGCTGGGAGAAACCAGCACAAACATCCAGGCAGGCGGGCAGCACTGGGAGGGCAGGAGAACAGAGAGTGCCCAGGATTTCATCCTCTGTGTGGGTGAGATCCCTGCTAACAGCAGCTTGGCCCTGCAGGGGTGGATGATGGTGAGGACATCCCACGGGAGATGCTGATCGGGATCTACGAGCGCATCCGCAAGCGCGAGCTGAAGACCAACGAGGACCACGTGTCCCAGGTGCAGAAGGTGGAGAAGCTCATTGTGGGCAAGAAACCGGTGAGTGCCCTCTGCTCTGCCATGGGGCACGGGCAGGGCAGCACGGCTGGGCTGCTCCCCTCACAGACTGGCCCACGAATGGCAAAGGGCAGAAACTGTCAAAGTCATTCCCTATAAGGTTGACTTAAATTCTGGAGTGTCCAAGCAGATGAATTTTGTTTTTTGCAGTCATGGGTGATATGATGACGTTAGGAGTCTTAAAATGCTTTATTGTGAGGCTTTACAGTTCTGAAATATCTGCATTTTAGGCAGTTCTCTCATTTATTTCTAAAGAATCAAAGTGATTTGTTAATGTGATATTGTAGAGAACCGTATTTCAAAATGTGCACTGTCAGTTATGGCTCCATAATTTACAAGATTAACAGAGAAGTTCTGTTCACATCAGTATCTTTGTCACCTGCTCTGCTGCCTCCATGACCTGGGATTTGTAAGGGGACATGGGGTCATTTTATCTCAGGACATATCTGGAAATCAGGTCCCGGGGATTCTGGTGCTGGGTTTGAGCATCCAAAGATAGGATTGTTGTTGGAAAAGTCCTGAAATATTTTGCTATATAAATGAATCTTCAAAGCATCTCTTGGAAAAGGAGAGAGAAAAGAAAGGCCACAGCATTTTGTCTCCGAATGTGGATCTCAGGATTCTCCCTATTACAGTTAAAGGGCTTTGAACTGTAATCTCTTCTCAGACAAGCCTTAGTCAGGGGAAGGGGGAAGGGAATGAGGGACCACCAAAAATCTAATTTTGGTCTGCTTCCAGTAAAGAATGTGCTGAGAAGATCTCTTTGAATAAGAAAAGGAAAGAAAGCAAAATTTTCACAAAAGCTTGTATCTATTTTTGAGAGGAAAGGAAATAAATATTCTGAAGTCAGTACTCAGGCACTTAATATGAAACTTTGTTTCTGTAATTGGGGATTTAGGTTTATATATAGGCTTCTGTGGGAGATGCTTTTTTCCATGGTTCTTTTTTTATTCAGACATGTGGCAATTCAAATCCTAAAACTAATCCTGACCTTGTAAATTAAATGGGATTAAGAAAACAATGCCCTTGGTGGAGTCCTAGCTTGAAGGATTCTTCTGGTGGGAGACTTTTTAACTGTGTGCAAGGAATTTAGGGGAACAGGCAAGAGTCTTTATTGATAGCTCTATTTGTTTTTACTTTATAGGCATTTAGTCATAGTCAGAGCGTGCCGTATTTACTTGCTATGATACAGTTCTGTGTTTCTCTGAAGTTTAATCAACTTGTATGTGTCTTTCTACTGTAGATTGGATCTCTGCACCATGGACTTGGTTGTGTAGGTATTTCTCTCCTACTCCTTCAAAATTTATAGTCATTGTAACTGGCAGCATTTTCCTAAACTGAAAATAAGACATTTTGTTACGTTTTAAAATTTTAAATTACTGATGTTCTTTCAGGCAATATTTTTGTTGTGTTACAGTAAAAACTCTCAAAAGTATAAAGATTTTCTAAAAAATTTATTTCCCAGAGGCTGCCTGATTTATTGCCAAGTGTCTTCTACACCTTTTTAATATACATTTTATTTATTTGAACTATTATCATCCCTGTAGAAATTAGCCAGTAAAGAATAAACAAATAATTAAAATCACAGTTTTCACCTCATCTTCCCACCTGAGCTGTGGTGTGTTTATTCTTTCTGGTCCATTTGAGAATTGAATGATACTCTGGAAAGATACTGCCAGTTGAAATTCACTTCTGAATGGTAGATGAACATTGAAAATATTGATTCCAAATTTAAATTATAGGCATAGTCAGTAATAAAGATAAACTGTACTTATAACGCACCAGTTTATGGATTTCTCTTGGTGTTGTTAACAAGCTCTCATAATTTGCATTTGAAAGAAATTAAGTCTCACTTATCAGCTTCAGAGACACCTTCAGCAGACATTTCCAATAAGAAAATGGAAACTCAGTCTTTGATTTTCTTTCTGGCTTGAGAAAAGAAGACAGATTGAAAATGAATTTGCTTTGTCCTGATGTCACCATTTTCTTGGTATTAGGGAATGAGCAAATTGAATTCACTTGGTGGCTGACAAAAAGTAACTCACAGCATCTCACAAAAGCTAAACTTGCTTTGCATCCTTTCTTCTAAAGATAATAAAAATGCTCATGGAAGGAACTTTGATGAAGTTTGAATGTCCTGCAAGTTTGTGGCATAAATTCTTTATGTTCCTGTTGTTGGTCCTCTGATGAAAAGGTCTAATGGGCTTAGTGGCAAAAATATTTGAAGTGTTAAAGAAAAAAGATGCGGTGTATAAAAAGTGCTCTTTCTTGGCTAGAAGTTGTTGTATGAACTGTGAAATTTTGTATTATTGCAGGTGCTCTCTCTCCCCCACCGGAGGCTTGTTTGCTACTGTAGGCTGTTTGAAGTTCCAGATCCAAATAAACCTCAGAAGCTTGGATTGCACCAACGAGAAATATTTTTATTTAATGATCTTCTCGTGGTACGTATTTCCAGGCAGAGACAATGAGGTATTCAGAAATCCTGTCTCCATGAAATTAACTACATGAGCATTCCTAAAAATAAATATCTGTTATCCTGTGTTCCAACAATCCTGGGATGATTAAGAGATTTGTATCTTAATTTTTAAAATTCGGTATAATTTGCTTTTAAACTGAAGTCTTTTATTAATGGCTACACTCTGCAAGAAGGTATTTGATGCAGTAGCTTTTCCTACAGAGAAAAAATCCTCACCTCCAGTTCACCCAATGTCCTAAAGGATCAACAGATACATTATTTATTCCATGAATAATGAATTCAAGGTACTTGTGGAAAACCAAAATTGCATCCTACCTTGTGTTCCCCAGATGTTCTACGAACCAGATCTGTTTGTGCACTGAAATAGGAGTAGGATCTGTTGAAATAGATTTTACAGTTGACTTTACTTTTTAGTGTGCATTTACCTTCCCAGACTTTAACTTGACCCAGTCTTTTGAAAAGCAGACACACAGAACTCAGGACGGCTTGGAATTATTTGGTTGATTTACTCTTAAAAATAGGAAAATTTGTTGCACTCCATTTGGAATGCATTTGGTTGTTACCTGAAAACTGAGAACTACACCAAGTATTTCATATTTTGTTAGGAAAAAGGCACATCTCATCTACACAGTTTTACTCTGTGTGTTTTTTTGCATACCTGAAGACCTTAAAACCAGGAATTAAAAAAAAAACCCAAAAACATTAATCCTTTTGCTTCTGAGTATAAACTAGGAGCTGTAAATGGGAGCTTGAGTGGAAACTGATGGAACATTGTTTTCTGCTATTTTTTATTACTTACTCAGATATCAGTAGTTCTATCAAACTGTTTGGGGAATAATACAGACCAGATTGGTCAGTGTGGTAGCACCTAAATTTGGGGGGTTTAAGGATAACTTAAATGTGTTTTCATTTTTTGCTAGCACAGAAAGGATGCATGGTTATTTTTGGTTTAGAATTTCAAGTAGAGTTCTGGAGGAAAAAAACCACAAAGGCTTTGTGTCTGGATAAAATATTAACCCTTCTGCTGTAGAGAGATGATGCTGCAGAGCTTTGGTTTTTTCAGTAGCAAGAGATTAAATACATCAGTTGCATTTAAAAAAAAAGGGACAAAAATGACAAGTGCATTTTTTCTGACATATTTATAACATTCTTTGAAATAAAATATTTTCTCTTATTCTAATTCATCAGAGCAATAGTTTTCTACAGGCACATTTGGTAGAATAAGTATTTCACTTTGTTTATCTGATACCTTTCAGGTGACCAAGATTTTTCAGAAGAAGAAGAACTCTGTTACATACAGTTTTCGACAGTCCTTTTCCCTCTATGGAATGCAAGTTCTTCTCTTTGAGAACCAGTGTAAGTATTTCCTCTCTTTTTAGAGGACCACCTTGTCTATAAATAAAACAAAAATGGTGTAAGTGAAAGGGATTGACAGCACTTGATCCTGAGTTTAGGAATAAAATTACTCTGGATTTAACTTTAGAATAAAGTTTAAAACAAGATGCGGTCAGTACATAAACCAGAGTTTTTTGGTTGTAGTCAGGAGCCCAATCTCCCCAAATGTGTTTGTGATTACCTGTAAAGAATAAAAGGATTGCCAAGAAACAAACACATCTGTTGCTGAGTCAGTGGTACCATTAGCTGGAGCTGAGTGATAATAAGTAATGACTCTTATAATGATATCTGTAATTCAAAACACTATTTAATTTATTTTCCTGATTTATGACTTAACTTTGCCTAGATAATATATGCTGCCTCAAATTTAAATACAAAGCATAGACTTTCATTTTCTGACACTTTTTGTTTATGTCTCTTACAATCTGCATCAGTCCAATATTCTTTTTATCTTTAGTGCTTCTCAGCAGACAAAAACCAAAATAATTTGCTACAATCCTGTTTCTAAGTCCAAATACAGCATGAGTGGTGACAGCAGAGCAGAGTTGTTGGTATGGTACATAGGGAGACAGCCTGACTGAATTCATGGTTTATGACCAAACCTTCACCCCCTTATAAATTGAGTACAGCCCAGTGTGAGCTGCAGTAGTTCTGTGCTGTTCTGTCGTGGAAGGTTCTTAGTTTTGCCTTGTCCTTGAGAATTTGCTCCCTAAAAATCCATTGCTGTTATTGCAAGCCTCTGGAGATTCCAAAGGGAAGGTTCTGCAGAGCTCACAGCAGCTCTGTAGCACAGAGATTATTTCTGTGCTTACACATGCATTCTCTCTTTTGTGAGCACATTATATGATATAAAATTCAGTTGTAGTGGGGAAGGCCAAATACATCTATCCTGGATTCTACTAAAACTAGAAAGATTTCTAATTCTCTGATGCCACGTTAAATAAAATATATTTTAAAAATAAAGCATGCTGAGTAGAAACACTAATCAAATACATTTAAAATATCTTTATTGAAACAAGAAGTAAAGGATTGGATTCCTCCCAGGGAACTGGAGGCATTTTAACTGAGGCACTTCAGGAGGGCTTCTGAATTCACTTCAGTGAATCAGTGAACAGACTGCACTCTAATATTGGTGCCTCTTGGGTGGGATGCACAATTTTCCAATTGAGAAAGAGAAGTATTTGTCCCCTTTGATTTGTAAAATTCAATATTCTGGGTCTCCTCTGTCCCTAGCAAGCTTTGGGCTGTTTTGTCCAGAGCCATCAGTAACTGTGTGGAGCAGCTGTTCCCTGGTTTCAAGGGAATAAAAGTCAGTGTTGCTAAAGCAGAAGCAACAAAAATATTGGTTTGGCTGCTGGTGAGATTGAACAAATTACTGGCACTGGTGATAGAAAAATTGACTTTAATGATAGAAGTCAATTATTTTGAGGGATGGATGAGCTGCAAAGGGAAAACAATGTCACATATCTCTAGTAAATAAATAGGCCATTTGAGAAGTATATTTTCCATTTTCAGTCAAAATCACTAACAAAATATAGAGGGGGAGCAGATCACTTAGGAGACAGTGAGACTGAAACCAAGAAATACTGACGTGAGGGTTTCCTGGTACCTGATCAATGCAGTGCAGAGAAGTACCTCTGGTATTTAAATACACGTGTTTGTTCCATGGAAATTCCTTCTTGGCTCGTGTGTGGGGGCAGCCCTGGTGACTTTGGGCTTGCCACGTTTCCTTGTTTGGTTTTGTAAACGTTTTTATTCTTCCCCCTGGAGTGGTGCAGAGCTGTTTGCTGCATTCCCTCTGCCAATGTTCTCAACATCCCACCTGAGCCTACCCGCACTGGGACCTTTTGGCTGTTCTTCTGCATGAGGTGTTGACAGCAAATCCCAGCAAAACTCCCAAATCCTTCTTCCCTCCTTCCCCTCAGGACCATTTGAGCCTCGGGGCAGTTGGTCTGTTTTCCCTGAGGATTGTAAATGGACTTGCTTCACTTTTAGTTGCAGCTTTGATCTGGGAGTTTAGGTACCCTAAAAAAGCCAAAGTGAAGGTACCCTAAAAAAGCCAAAGTTAATGCATCCTAAAAAAGCCAAGCACGTGCACTGGTTTCTTCAACAAGCTGAAGTCTTGTTGAAACCTCACAGCTTTGAGGGAGGGGAGTGCCTCTCTTCATCTGCTGGCTCTTGAGCGAGGGAGGGAGGTTTCAGTACATGGGAGCCCTTGAGCTTGGGCTCAAATACTGAAGTAAATATTTGAGAGCTTTAGCAAACCAAGAGGGGAAGGCAGCTGAGTAAAAGAAAATATTGTGTTAAAATGCACAAGTTGAGGTTTGTTGACACCCCATTGCTCCAGGTCTGTGCTTAAAGCAAAGACTGATTTATTTTCTACAGCAGAACATATTTTCATTCTGAGTATCTTTCTGTAAATGAACATTCTGTCTCAACCAGGAGGTATTTTTGACCAGCTGTTAAAACTTCAGAAGTACACCTAGAAAAGAGGCAAAGACAGTTTCCTGAAACATCTGCCTTTTATTAAAAGTCCATAATATGGGTCAAAAGAAGGGTGAAAAAACCAAATCAGTCCTTTTACTTCTTCAGTATGTGATTTCACAGATACTTTTAATTTCATTTTAAAGAAAAAAAGGAAAGTAGCATGTACAGGGAGCACAATCCAATAGGAAATACTAAATCTGTACCTGTTTGTGTGTCAACTCACCTGCAAATGGTGAGTTAAAAGTAAAAGATAATTTGTAGCATTTGAAATGTCTTCAAGTAGCCTTTACACTCAGCAAAACTTTGGTCACAAGTGGATAAGGTGATCATGGGATCTGTTCCATGAAAAAAAAATATCCCCTTAGATTTTTGCTTTTTTTTTTCCCTACTGTTTTTGATATATATTGCATATTGTGCCTTAAGGGCAGCAGCTACATAAAGATATCTCTCAGTATTTGTTCAGTATTTGACAGTCAGGCTGTTCCAATGTACCTTAGGGATTTTTATTCTAATTTTATGCTGTCAGACTTTTATTTCTCTGACTTTGTATCCTCTGTGGTAATATTACTAAAAGCTTTCCTTTTTTGCGGGTATTTTTATTAAAAGAAAAGTAATTGTATTAATCAGAGCTTAGTTTTTCTTGCCCTTTTCTTCCAGATTATCCCAATGGCATTCGGCTCACGTCAGCTGTTCCAGGAGCAGATATCAAAGTACTCATAAATTTCAATGCACCAAATCCTCAGGACAGGAAGAAGTTTACAGATGATTTGAGGGAATCAATTGCAGAAGTTCAAGAAATGGAAAAGCACAGAATAGAGTGTAAGTACAAAGGTACATATAATGGAGCATTTTCCAGCTAATCAAAATAATAAAAAGAAATATTACCCTTGGAAAATTTAAATTTTAAATTAAAAATTACCATTAATAAAAAGTATAAGAGTATAAGACATTAGAACTCCTTAAAAGTTCAAAATAATGTGGGTTTTTCTGTGACTTTATCTCGAGAAGAAGGAAAAAGCCAATAATGCCTTAAGCCCCGGCTGAGTTCATTGACTACTATTTACTGCAGTGTAGCTGCAGTGGAATTCATCTTGGACAAGCTGCAAATAACAATGGGCAGAGGAGAGCTGGGTCTGTGATTTGTAGCATAAATTACAGGAAGAATTTTAGGGATAATTTGGACAGAAGAGAGCTGGGTCTGTGATTTGTAGTATAAATTACTGCAGGAATTTTTAGGGATAATGTGGAAAGGAAAGATGGATCTGTGATTTGTCCTATAAATTCCCGTAAGAATTTTAGGGATAATGTGGACAGA